GTTTTTCTCAAGTGTATTAGCCTAAATTACAAATCCAAATAAATTACTATAACGTCTTACAGATGATTTTGCTGCAGAGACGGTAACAGTTCATCATTTCATAAATGAGCCATGTGTGTAAAAGTGTCGCGTCAAGTTATCAAATAATTATGTACTGATCTTCGTATTTTCCAATAGATGAAAGAGAGTGACAAGCGTATGTTAGCCACATAAATGTTTAAAATCCGGACCCTAATTCCCGGGCAGACTGATAACCTCTCAGCTACGCAATCTTACTTCTCTATCACTTCTTACTACATAATATCAGTCATATACGTACACAAGCAAAACTATGACTATATTTTTGGTAAAGATGACAGACACGATTAAATCACTCAGTTCGAAGCTGAAAGGGATTCAGTTTTCAACACTAAGCACTTTTGTAAAAGGATTATCATAATGCAACGTCAGTAATGAATTATTATCTCACTAGTGATTTGATTTTACAGATAAAACTCTCAGCTAAAACTTTTAAAAATATTTTTTGAAGCTAATCGTAAGTTGTCCATATTTATTATTAGATTTTAAACAGTTTTTTAAAATCACAAGAGATGAAAATAATTTGAATAACAGAGTTGAGTAGTGATATCTGATATTTAATTGTTATCATGGTTGTACCAATTTATACAGCAACTGACTTTGAAAATATGTTGAATTTTCAAGGCCATCTCACTTCATGGTCCCTGTTACAGTTCTCCTTCTCACTCTCATTGTACATAACAATACATTTATTCAATATGATCAGTAATGTTTTAATTATTTCATTACACATTTAAAAAAGTGAACATATATTTTCGAGAAAATAATTATATGGCATGTATAAAAATTATCATTATGATAATAATAATAATAATAATCACTTTAACTAACCTTCCACATTTAGTTACAATCATTTCAGTACCTAATTGATTAAAACTTTCCCATAAAGATGCATTTTCAAGTAGAACTGTAATATTTTTCATACTTTTCATTTTCCATGATTCATCACTATTCACTGTATCATTCAGCATATTTTGATTTGTTTTACATTCAATAGATTCATAATTTTCATTTGATCTATTCATTATTGGATCAATGAAAGCATCCACAAGATCATTATTAGTATGATTGTTGTGATTATTCCATGCAGTGAAAGATGGATTGACAATGTGATTGTTTATTAATTCAGTATTCATCAATGGGTGTTGATCAGTTCTATGATGATAAATAGGCTCATTATAATTGGAATAATTTGTTATAGAGAATGGAGGAATAAAATTTGAATTAGTCGATAAATTATTGAATGAATAACTAGTTGCATTACAATTCGATTTCATAGATTGATCTCTATCATTATTGTCATATTGTCGATGTGTACATGAATGTAATGTTTCAATAACACATTGTTCGTTGTTAGTTTGTTCAAAATTATGATTATGATTACAATGAGAAGAATGAAACATGAATAGTAGTTGGATGTGTTATTTGTGTCGGTTTATTGGTTTACTTACTTAGAATATATTTTTTTCACAACGTATTGTGAGATAATTAGCGCATATGTAATTATGTAAACAAACCTTGAGTATAATTAAATGTATCAAACTAAACACCTTTTTAGATAATAATAATAATAATACTAGTAATAAGAATAATAATCATTATTGCAACAATAATAGTCAGAATAATTAACGATGAACAACGATAAATAACAACATGAAACATAAATGTGTAAAGTATTGTGTTGAATTTCACACAAGTTTTTAATTTTTAAGATAATATGTATTTGTTTAACATAAAACTAGTGGAAGATAGATAATCAGGCTAAATTTACATTTATTTTGTGTAGCCAGGGTTAATTATCCCTCTATGGTTTGTTATTTAGACAAATATGAAAATAAAATGACCAATTGAAAAAGATTGTGTACGCACAATACATTGTTTTTGTGTACATTTTATTACTGCTAGCCAATCATATTAACATGAAATAACTAGAAGGGGGGTAAAAACATATAGATACATGTTTATGGCATGAAAAAGTGCAGAGTAGATTTTATATTCTGTTTTGAAAAATATCAAGTAACCCGATCTGAGGAAGTAGTCTGACATATGGTTTTGGGTAGATTAGTTTAAATTGTGGCAGGTACACTTTACAAGCTGATCTTAGTTGGACTATCGTTAAAACCCAGAGTACCGAACAGTTATCTCAGTAATACGTACGTACAACTTAAATGAATCGAACCCAGAATCTATTAGTCTCTCAGTGACTCGTGGTTGTGAATATTGAATACAATACCTAAACTTCATACACTGCTCGTTTAGGATAACTGTTAACAGATCACTCCCAACAGTGTATCAAACTCAGAAGACGATAGAAAGTGTTGACGACGTTTATTATCGCACCACACCGGTCATAAAACCGCCGGCATACAAGAAGAAAGCGAAATTATATGCGAATGAATCGGGTTAAAATGCACACACATATGTATAGGAAAATGAATGAGTCAGTGAATTATTTACGTGACTAACATCAAGGCTAGTAGAATGAATATGTGCTTAGGCTTTAATCACTTTCCAAGTATAGTTGCTCATATAAATACTACAATAATACAGGTACAAAGGTATAGGCACTTTGTTGCTGTTCCAATGACACTGTCTATTAAAGAAGTTAATAAAAGGGCTTAACCAAATTAAATGTAAACAAACTCAAATGTATGTGAGATGATATAGGTCATTTAAGTTAATCAAGTGGTATACATTTCCAACTTCACTGAATTTACATCATACCGAAGTCCTGGCTGCTAACCAGTGAGCAGTTCCACACTAAGACAAGACATTCTTCCAGGGTGTACATAATTTTTACTGATACTTCAACTCGAGACAAATATCACCTTCAAATTAGCAGGTAATAATGACAGTTAAATATTTCAGTGAGAGCAGGTAGTATTTAGCTTATTTTTGATGACTGCTCGTCGTAAAACCTAAATAATAAAGGTTTATTCTGTGAGATTTGTTACTGGATTTTGGTAAAAGGTCCTAAAGTGAAAACAATCTACTATCCAGTGTTTCATAACTATTTTGTCAGTGATTACCTCGTTTTCGCTAACTCATAACAAAAATTATCTCTAAAAATAGCTAATTACTTAAAAAATTAAGTTTTGTTAAAATTATCATTTTTATGGTAGCGAACAGTAGAATACTAAATATTTAGTATAGGAGGGTTTGTGAAAATTGTAAAATGTTATCGTTAACAACATGAATTGATCAAGCGCGAGACCATCATTGAGAACCAGGAAACACTGGACAACTTTTTGTCGTAGTATGAAACCCTTTAGCAGTTTGCATCTATGAAATCTAACAATATTAATAAGCCTCTATATTTATCAAAATCTTGTGTTTATTAATGACTGATCTCGAGAGACCCAAGGTCTTGACTTCAATTTCTAATGAGGTAGTAGATTCGTACAGATTACAAGTTCCATACTAGAATGAGACAGGCATCTAGTACTTTGAGTAGTTGTCTAACAAACATCATCCCTTGATGTGAACTACAAAATACTTGATCAAAATATAAATAGAAATGTTTGAGAATACTTGTTTTTAACGAAAATTGATATTTATTCAATCAACTTTGCGCAAATTTTAGACAAATGAAAAATTTAATTTAATTAACTGGTCAATAATATATAAACAATCCCGCAAAGCAATTACACGTGTTCACTAGTGACTAGCCTGGTGAGGAATCTTCTCCGAGTTCTAGTGGGAAGTCGTGACCAGTGAAGTTCAAACCTGTTCGGATGTATACAGTGTATGAGGTTGCGCAACTCTGTGGATTGATCAAGTTAGACATTAACACCGTCAGACCCGGCTAAGTGGTCCGATGGTTAGGCGTTCGCCTACAATACCGAAGGTCCTGGGTTCGAATCCCACGGGGTGCAGGAGTCGTGGATGCGCACTGCTGGTGAGTCCCACACCAGGACGAAATGGCCGTCCAGTGCTTCCGGTTTTCTAATGGTGGTCTAACATTGATCGATTCATGGTTACAAATAAAATCTGGATGACTTAAAAACCAATGAAAACAAACATCCACTGATGGAAATGGTTGTTGATGGCATTATTGACTGACTGACTAGTGAATTTAAATTCATATTTTTCTCATGACGAAACTTGAAGATTGAATTTTTAACTTTTTGTTGAATAGATCTATAATATGTAATTTGTGTTCATATTCTGTTATTTTCATTGACTTTACATATGAACTGAACTTGATAATTAATTGATTAATCCGAATAATCAATCCTGATATAACTAGAACATAATCTAACAAACCCACATTACAAATGCAGTAAATCAGATGATGCGTTATAGGGATATGATTTTTCTATAAAAATAAGTACATTTCCCTGATGGTATTCATCGTTTCTGGAAAAAAAACATTAGGTACCAACTGGAAATAACATTAGATATGCTTAATGATTTGACTCATAGGTCGTTAATTTTCTTAATACTTCAATGCTGCATAATATATAACTTTTTGATTTTTATGCGTGAGTACAACTTTAACTTTTTCATCCCTAAGAAGAATAATCCTAATGGCTAGGATTGGTTGACTTACTAATCATATGTTGAGTGACGATGCAGAATCTCCCTACAAAGACCCAATGGAAAGGTGAGAAGAAGGTACATTTACTTGCCTTAATAAACCACTACACATCTAATTTAAAAATTCAAGTTAATAAATATCTGAATCATTAGACCGAAATGCACCATAATTTATAAAATACAATATCTATCAAAATAGGGGATTTAGAGTACTAAATTGGAATACCAGACTTAGCACTAAATAACAACAGAACAAAGGTAACCCAACAGTTAATGAGTCATTTAATTGACTACAATTAGATGAATATAAAAATCAACTAAGTTAAGCATTAATAATCGTGAATTAAGTGTACTGACTTCCCAAAAATTAGATTTTACAGTTTGTAATTCTGACATATTTGTCTCACCACAACAACTTCCATTGATGTAGTCACATTTGTTTCCAAATATGTGAAGACAACAAGCACTATTAAATAAAACACAATGACTGATGGTGGCCCGGTGGTTAGGCGTTCGTGCACAATACCGAAGGTTCCGGGTTCGAATCCTGCCAGGTGCAGCAGTCGTGGATGCGCACTGTTGGTGAGTTCTAAACCAGGACGAAACGGCCATCCAGTTCTTGTAGGTTTCTAACGGTGGTCTAACAATGGTTGATCGATGATTTCAAATGTGTAAAAAATATAAATCTACAAAACTCTAACTGAAAATATTTAACTAGTAAAGGCAGAATTTTACTGGTGTTGTTGTTAAAATATTTATACTTTCAAAAATTGTTTAAAAGGAGGGTACTTTGAAAGTAATCATTAGCATTTTTTTTTTAATTTGTTCATTCTTTCCATTGTAGTTTATAAAAGACAAACAAAATCTACATTTTGCAAGTTGTTTTTGTCAAACTTGTGTATTGCTTTAAAGAAACGTGTTACTGTCAAGAGTAATTTCATTTTATGATGAAGAATGAAATACTTCTTTTTGTTAAATTTCCACTTCTCACTTTCGCATCATTTAGTTTAACAATGAATGAATTGTAAACGATTAATTTTCATGTTAAAATATCGATATATTTACTATTGGATACTTATAATGAAAAAAAAACTATACTAAAAATCGATATTATTGATGCATTCGATAGGATCTTGAGAATTCCATTCAATCGATTCATCCAAACTTGTAATATGCAAGTTACTACTTTTCCGACTTTAAATCTCCTTATTTACTGATCGGATTTCTTCTGAGTTCTACAAGCGGAAACTGTTGCTTTTACACCAAAACACGAAAATGAAACAAGATGATGAACTCTTATGCTTTTCCAATTAGAGTCACGGACATCACTGTTTTTACACACTGAAATCATGAGTCAATGATTGCTAAACCATCATTATAAACTGGAAGTACTGGATGGCAGTTTCATCCTCGCATAGGACTCATCAGCATGATTTCAGTATGTAAAAACAATTAGCTCCATAATCCTAGTCGAAAATTCATACAGTGTGGTCACAAATGACTAACTTCATGAGGAAATTCCCAGAGTTCTAGTGAGAAGACGTAACCAGTGGAGTACAACCCTGTGGGGTGTAGTCAATAACCACCGAAAACAAATGGGTGAGGTCTCACAAAAATCGCTAGATAGATCAGAGTTAAACATTAACACCATTGGACCTCGACCCAGTAGTTCAGAGGTTAGGCGTTCGCGTGCAAGACCAAAGGCATCTGGTTCGAATCCTTCGAGTATCAGGAGTCGTTAATGCGCACTGCTGATAAGTCTCATCTAGTGCTTCTAAGTTTCTAATAGTGGTCTAACAATCATTGATTGATGGTTTCAATGTGTAGAAATCTTATGCATTATATTACAGATCTTTATAATAAC